AGCCTCATTTCATCTTGAACATAATGTACTTTTAGTATTGATCTGCAGTAGAAAATTCAGAGAGAGATCGAGAGGGTAATGGACAATTTGCTGCATGCGCGAGACGGTGATTCAAACTACAAACAAACGGTCAGCTCTAGTCCTCTTAACCTCTACTTGAGTGAGCGTAGTCAGTCCACCTTTTCAGCCCTCTTTCTGCAATATTCTCCACCCGATTCAAAAACTCCCGATTACTTACACAAACACCAGTCTTCACTAATCTCATTTGAAAAGAAGATCGACTACTGCCAAGAAAGAAAAGAGATATGGCGTTCATACTATGCAAGAAGTCACATTTACAATGAAATTGTAGAATTGTGAAGTAACCGACTTCTTGTTTGCTGGTTATTAATCCAATCTAATTGATAATCATTCATTGAAGTATGACTTTGCCGCATGGGATGTTGACCACAAAATCATCACGAAATCTGCTTAGCAATGGTTAAGAACAAACAGAAATCGGACGAGGGGACGCAGGCGAATAAGCTATTTGCTTCCGCCTATTCCTTTGGAAGTAAACAACAGAAAACAGGAGCAACCATATAGCATGATGTGAAAGTGACAAATGATCAAAAGTCTGTACAAAACAACAAACCTGCTAACTTTCTCTAACGACACAACACTGCATAACATCCGCAGTGCTTCTGTTTGAATGGGATCCATAAGCTCGTGCGAATTTAAATCAACTTTCAACAAGGCCACAGCCTCTTCGATAAAACCATTGTACAATAAAGCGTTGATCTGGACCTCGTCCGGCTGACATTTGCAGTATACTAGAAACATCTTACTGTCGTTTGGTACCCACTAAGAATTCATACAAAAAAGTATTGTTTGTTTGGACCCACTTAAGGTAGATATTGAAAGCAGTCGTACTATGAGACATTGCATTCGATGTTCACGAATTTCAAAATTCCGTAACATTCGTATTCTGGCCAGTAAGCTGTATCGATCCTCCGGTGTCATCCCTGCCGCGAATTCGTCCACGACCTTGAGCAGCGGCTGATTCACCTAGAAATGGCACTACTTCGATGCTCACCTCCAACAATTAAAAGCATAGATTTACCATGTGACGTTCGAAAACAATGGAATTTTTGGCTTTACTGTCTGTGAAGGTAAATGGAAACAAGGGCGGAAGCTTCACATCACTTCGTACACAATCTTCCATTTTCAAATTTCGTAATTTACCTCCCCAGCACTGAATATTTGCTTGATGATAGATCGCGGATCATACAAAACAACAATTTAATACCTGAGCCATCGCTGTGAGACTCATCACGAGGGACGCCTGATCTTCAGGGCATAATCTTTGCGTCAAAAATTTTGAACGCTTACTGATGGTCTGCAGAAGTCGCAACACTTCGCTGACCAAATCCATGTCAGTGCATTCAGTTAAGCGGATTATACGCTGAAAATCAAAATAAAACCTTGCATGTTTTCAAAATAAAGTAAAAATGTAGCTGAATAGTAGAAAACGTTCAAAATATAATGATGGTACATCACGATAATTTGTAAACCGGGGTGCAACGGATAGTTGTTCACACATGATTTCCTCTCTGTCTCCCCCCCCCCCCCCCCCCCCC